TAGCTGCGCATGGAAGGCGGTCAGCATACTTTGCACAGTTCTATCAGCCTATCCAAGGCAATCAACATATTTTGGCAGTCGCTAAAAACCCAAAAGATTGTGTCCTGCAAAGCTGGGGAAGCTGGTATATAAATACACCCTGCTTCGATCCTACCTCCGCTGCACTCTGTGCGATCACTTTGAAAAGAAAAACCTCAATCGGTGTATGCATTAAATGCAGATCGGAGAAGCACTGTCCAGCACTTTGCAAGCTCAGGAGAAGCCTAATTGGAACTTAGTACTCTCTTCTCTCCTTGCTCACTTGCAAAATGGTGCAAGATGCTCTGCCAGCAGACACATTGAGAAAGAAAACAACTCAAAAATACAACACACGTCAATAGGATTCAATAGGTGCCCGTCATAAAAATCAACAAACGCGAAAAGACAATGAACGGACGGAACAGCCCTTCAAAAAGAAAAACGTCAATCGGTGTATGCTGTATGCTGTAAATGCAAGAACCGCAGCAAACAAATCGGAGAATGAGCAGGCGAAACAGCACTTCCATGCACTTTCCAGCGCTTGCTTTTGAAGGGATCTTCCATCATCCGGAAACAGAATTATATATAGCTCCAGTCTCAACATGTCTCAACATGGCACCTGTAAAATTCATCCATACGTCCCGTCTGAGTGTTGGACATCAATCACAGGCTGCTTCTCACCAAAGCTCCTAGCTCGGGTGGGGGATCACTTCCGCACCACAGCATTTTGGATCTCGTGGGGGCTTTGACCGGTCGATTCGACTTCGGCAAAGGCATCTGGCACGTGTCAACATGGAAGGAGCTCCAAAGCACATGTATCCTGGACATTGGAATGTTCCAAAAATCCTCAATGGCTTTTCCTAGGATGTTCCCATGAGTTTCCATGGATGTTCTTTCTGTTGACTTCTAGGAACAAGCTGTATGGATGTGTGTTAGTCTTTCTGTTGACTTCTTAGAGTTCCAGCTGTTGACTTCTTTCTGCCAGGATGCTCCCATGAGTTGGGCTCTCACGATGTCGGACTTCCGCACGATGTGGCATCCAGGGAGTCTTTGAAAGGGAAGGCCAAGAAAGGAGAGTCCAGTCGACCATTGTTTTAATAGTCTATTCTATTTAGATCTATTTAGCAGGTGATCCAACAAAAAGGAATTTCCTTTACTTCAGTGTTGCCAAACATGGTCGAACTGGACTTCTTAGGAAGGGTCATGTGTTGGGACATGAGCAATTCATGGGCCTTCCTTGATCTAAAATCATTTAGCAGCAGCTGATCCACTCACCAACTTGACGAATACACTCCCTATAGATCCCTATAGCAGCCGACATGGACCCGGGTCGAATGGCACCCTGAAAGACCCGTTTTCCTGTACAATCCCCATTCCATGTTAGTCTCCCATGAGTGGTTCAACATAAAACATTTCCTTTGGGGTTCCATGGAGTTGGGTGACAAACGAATTTTGAGGGTAGGCGTGCGCGTGCGTACGCCGCGTGGCCCGGTCACATCCACTCAGTGGATGGGACGAGCCAAACCATTCGTTTTGGCTGGTTTGTTTTGAGATCCACAGCTTGGTGTCGTGTAGATGTGTGAAACCTCAAGCTCCGACGCTCCTCTGGTCCAGCTGCAGTTCTGAACCTCCATCGCGCTTTGGCACTTCAGGATGGTCTCCTTGCATGCCATCACACCTGCCGAACACAATTCCCGCTCGCACCGATGGAAGAGCTTGCGGGCACCTATTACTCCTTCCGTCTCCTTCCACATCCTTAGACCTCCAGGACCATCAAAAGAAAGGTTGACCTGGTATTGTAGTGTAAAGTCCTTAGATGTCCTTAGTAAAACAATGGTGGTTCGGGATTCAGCCTATTAAATCAATGGTGGGCCAGGAAGCCTAGGGAATCCTAGTTTAGACACATCCTTCCACCATCCACATCTTCCAACCCCCACCATGCCCGCGCCACCGACCTCCAAAGGCCAGGTCCAGAAGCGCATGCCTCGCGGGCTTGTAGGACGGGAGGTCGGGCCGCTGGGCGTCCGCCAGCAAGTCCCAAAAGCCTCGGTGGTTTTGGACAGTCGAGAAGTCGATGTTTGTGTGGCGTGGGAGCTGGAGCTATTGGGAGTCCGGGAATAGACCGGTCAAGACCTCTGGATCTCTAGACCTAGCTGGTCTATCGATCCTTTTTTGGATCTAAGACCTGGGACCTATGGGGACGACTTGTTGGCCCTCTAGCCTCACACGCGTTGGAAGGACCACTCTCACCAGCCTTTGGGGACCGGCGGCGGGCTGACCGTGGCGGAACTGGACTCGGTCAAGGACTTTCTTGCTTCGGTGGATTCGTGGATTCGGATCATCTTCGACCGACTGTTTGTAGTAAGGGGGACACACCCGGACACACCCGGATATCTTGGTTGAAAGGCTCCATTTTCGGTGTTTGGTTGGTGAGGATGAGTAGGTGGCATGTAGATGACCCTGGTGGAAGCTTGGAGTCTTCTGTATGCATCAGATCCTCCTCCAGTCACCCACCACTCATTGGCCCAGAAGCCTCCCATACCTCAAGCTTGCGCTGGGCTTCAAGCCCTAAATGATCGTTTTCCTGCTGGTCATTCCATGGTTTTTGCTGGTCACATGCTCATTTCCGGGCACCTCTTTTTCTCTCAATAAAGGGTCCGCGATGCTGGAAACACACACCTTTCCGGCACCCCTGCTCTCGACGCGCCCAGCAAACGCTCCACCCTCGACGCTCCAAGCTGCGGAACAGCGAGGTCACGGGCAACATGAAGGCGAAGAGCCGCATGAAGGCGCCGTAGAAGAGCTCAGGTGCACCGGGTGAGCTCAGATTCGTTGAGGATGGTTTTGGGGGTACGGTATATATTTTGGGGGTCCCCAAGTAGAGATGTTCGTGGCACGGTTGTTCCAATAGATTTTGAGTGGTGATTTATATATATATATATTTACATGTACTTTCCTTATTTATCTCTTTGGGGAGCACATGGGACCACTATAGGTACTTTCAGATATGGCACAAACCGCCTAAAAATGTCTTTTCGATAGGGGTCCATATAGACTACCGAACTTGGGGATTGTGCCATCTACTCTGCCACTATAGGATGGTTTGGTGTAGGTATGGAACGACATTGACAACACAAATGATTACAAGGCCTAAGGCAATTTGGGAAGAGGTAAAGTCGAGCTGGACCATGACCTCATACTTGTGAAAACCTGGGAGATTGAGTCAGGTTGAGCTCACTGTTTGAAAGATGGCTCTGTCAGAATAGTCAAAGGCCTTCTTGGCGCAAGAACGTGCAAGAGCGGTCTTCATGTATGTCATTGGAAAACAGATGTTTAGACATATTTCTACACCCTCTATACACATTCCATGTCCACTCTTACACACTGGGCCATTGCAAGCATTCCCCCAAAGGCACAGGAAGGTGGAAGATCCTCTTCCCAACCTGTAATGGTCTGTGCTCAAAGGAGTGTCACCAAAAGTCTCCACCCAAAAAGGGGTCGGACCCTCATATGGAGTCTCAAATCCGCTTCTTTTTTCAGCTGTGATGTGTATGGCACGCCATGTCTGACCCAATGAGGAAGGCTGAAACAACGTATTGCACCCCCAGCCGTGCCGCCCGCAACACGACGACCAACTCTTAGAATGAGGAACATGGAAGACACATGTAAACACTGCCCAGCATGATAACACACAACTAATTATATATATAAGAATATAAGAAAAACATTTATTCACTCACATCTTGTTTCATCTTGAATTCCAAACCATGTGAAGACATTATGAGGCGATAAGACATGATATGAACAAGCACGCGAAAACAAAATTCATCAAAGCAATCATACACCGTCTTTCCGATCAACGACCGCAAAAACAAAGCACCAACGGTTTGCCTCAGAACGCCGAGCCGGAGCGGATTCTCCCCTGTTTGCTCTACAATTCCAATTGGGGACCAAACAAAACAGAAAGACTTCTTCATCCATTGTCCATCAACCCCCACCCCTTCTGCCCTTCTTTCGTACACTAGTTCCTGGACCACGCACCGACTTCGCACCGGACCCCCCCACTTCGAAATGCCAGGCGCCAAGATGAAGTTCAAGCGGTGCACGTCGATGGCTCCACATCGGTCCGTCAGCTGGGCCTCTAAACCTGAGACCATGGAGCAGCAGAGACCATGGAGGCCTGGTGAAGGTCAGCTGACGGAAAAAGCTGTCCAGGAACCTGGAAAAAGCAAAAATGTATTCCCCACAAAGGGGATTGAACCATGGGGAAAATACAAGATCACCTTAAGCAAAACCAGGTCAGACATGACCAGACTGATTAGTTGATCTTCAGGGCTGAGTATACTCAGTTCATCACAATCAGTTTCACCTTTTTGGCTCATTCCGCTCAGCATTGAATCGATCAACCCCCTAGACGGCTCAGAGTCTGGAGACCTTCGCGGTCCCTTGGGACCCTTAGAACGGGTGATAGAGTGGGGTCCGGAAAAATGCTCCCGTTCTGCAACGTCTATAGCCCCAAAAGGACCCAAGACTAGGAAATCTGTTGGGGTCATCTATGGTCATCTCCGAATGGTACTTGTTGTGGAGCTATCAGAGGTGGCACATAGTAGTTTCCATTGTGATCCTTCCATCTGCCGTTCGGCCACCATTCGGTCCGCAGCGCGCACAGGACGCCGTAGTAGGCGCGGAAGGCCTTGCGGGGTCGAAGGCTGGGTGGAGTTGAGCAGATACCCGCCCTGAAACGAAGTGGACTACAGTCTACAGCCAATCCAACACAACGAATCCATCTGGACCTTGAGACTGCTGACAAAATCTACAGTGGGAGTTGCGCCATTCAAAGTTCGTGCCCAAACCCCCCGTGAAGGGAGAAGTGCTGCACTGTAGCAAGTCGCCGCCGCTGTGGCAAGCAGCTCTCACACCCCCACGCGCAGCACCCTCATTTTTCACGCATGCAACTTGCAACACAGACGCCATTGGGCATCCAATCACACCTGACAGGTGCGGCATGCTCAACGCCTAGCCCGGCAAAATGCGGTGTGGTGAACCGCCTCACAAACCTCCACACTGCTCCACAAAAACTCTACAGTCAATCACCAAAAAAATATGCAAAAAAAAATACAAATGAGCACATCACACGATCTCTCCCCGGACGTTTCATTTTTGACCTGGCTCCGTCGGAAGCTACCCTCCGCCAGAAGCTACCGGCGGTAGTATCATCTATTGCATTTTGAGGCAGATTCCGTCTATATGTCTGCGTGGCAATTATTTAAGTAAAGTACATAGGGAATGCCAAATCAATGAAACTTTCACCCATTTCGGGTTGCTTCGTTTGAGTGCCAAACATCATTGACTGGAATCTCTTGGCGGTGTGGCTGACTGTGTTCTTCACCAAAACCAAACCCTTCAGCTGGTAGCTTTCATGTCTTTGGCAACTCTGGACACAGGTGACGCAAACACAGACCGGAAAGGCAGGAAACACAAACAGGAAAGGGCCGGGCCTTGAGGACAATCAGTTGCCGCTGCAGGAGAAGTAGGGAATCTCCTTGAGTTGGTTAAATCAGTTCGTGCAAAAACATCACACAGATACGCACCCGGATACAGTGCCTGTAGTCCGTGCAGGTCTGTGCGGCACGCCAGCATGAATAGCCAAATGGAGGACGAGCACCCGTTGAAAAGCATCTCACGTCTGGTTCACCTAAATTCAATAATTCATAGAGGAATTCAGTCTTCCGAATTTGGGGCCATGTGCCACGTAACCTGTTGAAAGGGTAGACCTAATGTAGGCCCTTGAGCAACAAAACTCTCCGATTTGGACTGCCTACATTTCCTGGACCATCCAAGACCTTCAAAGGAGTGTTGAATGGAGGGTAGTCTAGCCAGGACACCCAGACAGGATGGTACTGGTACAGAGTTGTCTGTTTCCTTCTGGCAGCAATGGAGCTTGACTGAGTGTTTCAGTGGACCTTGGGTTCTGATCTCCAAAAGAAACTAGCTCCTTTTAAGCCGTGGATGTTCCTGGGACAAGGACATTCCACCTATCCAAGGTCCTGAATCCCACACAACCCTTGACATCGATGCTGGACCTGGCACAACACGCCTTCACATCTCAAATCCATGTGAAAAAAAACATGGAGTATCTCACTGGGTCGCCTTCAATCTTGAAACCTGGCCCTGACAAACCTGGCCCTTCACCTGACTTGCCCCGAACAATACCCCCCAACTGCGACCTGAAGAAAGACCGTTCACCTGTTCCGTCCAAAGAAAGTAGAGCAACCAAAAGGCCCAAACCTCATTGCAGCGCTCCCCCCGGCGCAGAATCGGCGAGCGCGAACAGACGGAACCTGCGTGATCCAGGTGGGAGACCGGACGAAAAACACCGCCGGTGGGAGACCGGTCGAACGGATCCGGTGCGGAACAGGTTTAGTGCTGATGGGGATTGCGCTGGGGTCTGTGGTGAAGGTCTGAGGAATTGAAGGTCTGCGATGGGGAGATGGTGAGAGTTGAGTTGTGAGAGGTGGACGTGCGCAGTGTTGAACATATCTCCCACCCATGAGCTTGGGTCTAGCCATCTCGTCCAGCATGAGAAGAACATCCGTGATGTCTAGCCATTCCGTTTCGTTTCGCCCCTGCATTCCGTTTCGTCGTCTTTCGCGGCCGAAATGGAAACTCAGGTCCAAGAGGCAGCGGAGACGGTGCCGGAAGTCTCCTTCCAAACCTTGCAAGTTGGTGCCAGGTCGGTGCGGGACCAGGACGCCCGTGGGTGAAGGAAAGCCCAGTCCGAGACTAGGGAGGATATCAGTCACTTCGTGCATGATTCATATATGGGTTGGGTCTATCCTATGGCCAGAAAAATTGGATGATGATGGTTCAGTTGCAGGCCTTTCTCTCGAATAGTGATTTATTAATTGTTTAATGACCGCTACAGGTTTTCTAGGACATACCCAATTCATATATATATATAGAGAGAGATATGGGTATTATATCTGGATGGTCTGGTTCCTGAAAGCATCTGAAAAGTAACATGAGCATACACGAGCCCCATGATGTTGTCTACCCTGAATAATTGCTTGTTGTTGGCAATATGAGTTTCCTTTGCAAACCTGGCTGGAATCTGTGGGTGCTTTCTTGCCAGGAGAAAACACAGAAAAATACAGAAAACACTTGTTTGGATCAAAGTTCTTGAAAGGTTCCGAGGAGAAGAGAAAGCCTGCAGGAGGATCACTCAAAAAGATTTGTACCAATGACCATCTCATGGCTGCCTTGCCAAAAGATCTTTCCTTGGACCATATCATCCATCACCAAGAAGGTCTGAAACTTAACTAATCAAGAGTCTTCACAGCACTTGGATTCTTGGATTGGCTTGAGGAAGTTGGAAATAAACAAATATTCACCAGAAGGGGATTTAACACGATAGACACAACTTAAGCAAAACCAGGGATTCCGTAACATCATCGGCCCGACCCTCACCGGGCCTCCTCCTTCACCGTGGTCTGCGGCGTCTGCACGACGACCAGGTGGAAGGCCAAGACCAGCAGCAATTTGCAGTAGGCCACCACGGAAGAGACCCGCTGGCCTCCGCCGACGGGGACGGAGCACGTAAAGGCCTCTGTAAATGGAGCAATGTTGGAACGGTGTGGCTGTAGATGGGCTGACCCAAATGATAGAGTTTGTCCAAGCCTCATTATAACCAAAATGCTAAACGGCTGTCAAGCATGCACTGGTTCCTGACAGAATTGGTGATGGATTATTCCTCATGGGCCCCCACATGTCTTATCATATTGGCGATGTAAAGTGGGTCACACTCAAAGCAAGGATCGTTTCTTATCCCAAGTTGTGATGATTGTTTGCTTTTGGGCATGTTAGCAGCAGCAGCAGCAGCAGAAATCAAAACACATCACAACAAAAAAACAATCGATAACAAAAACAAAAAAGCAACACATGCACACCAAACAAATAGGGCGACTGAGCCCTAGCCTCTTCGTGTTGATCCCAATAATCCCATCTCTCTCCATTCTGCCCGCCGGTCGTACTCCGGTTGCCGACGGTCGCACAGACGGACTCGCCTTGAGCATTGGCATCCAAGTCCTGGTCATTGGGCACTTGAGGGTTGCAGCCCAGATCATCCTCCGCCGAGCACGGACCGGCACGGACCAAATCACGCGAAGACGAAGATTGGCTCGGACGGTTCCGAGAGGGAGCCGTTTGTCGCCACGTCTCTGCACTCGGGTGCCCCATCGGCTTCAAAATGCTGAGCTGAGCACTTCTCCATCAATGCTCCACAGATGTGGCAGCAAACATGGACATGTTTTTCGTATGAAATGTCTATGCTTGTCTTTCCATATCTATACAGTAATATGTGATCAAATGATATTAAATGTAATGCCATATGATTAAATATGTAATGGCTCCCTGACTTTATTGCCCGGGCCCTCAGTCCCCAGCCTACAATTCCGCTCTCATCCACACCCAGAAGAGGCAAGAAAGACACGGTGCTTTGACAAAAAGGGCCGACTCTCCGTTCTGTCATCTACCACTCTGCCGCAACAATGGTGGAAGCCGAACAACCCAACAACATCCAGTGCAGATGTGTTTAACGCTCGATCTGCAGACCGAGTTGAAACCCCGCTGGACCTCTCAAAAAGAAGTGATCACATCCGTCACTGAGATCGGTCAGCGTCCCTCCAGGTGACCCGGCTCCGTTGATCCAAAAGGAAACACGCGTAGCGTGCCATGGGGTCAGGACTACCCTAGCGGCCCTGGCGGCCCTAGCCTTCCATTCGACCTCAAAAAAAGAAAAGGTCGACCTGTTGTAGTGGAAAGAATTCCTTGGTACAACAATGGTTCTTCGGTCAAGCCTAATTAGGGTATCCCCCTAGGGTTCGGTGGCTTGTATGGACTCCAATATAATTAACAAGACATCTTTGGGTGCCATCGAACCTCCCCCCTCTCGCGCCTTCAGCCGATGATGGCGATGAGCGCCACACAGGCGAGTCCTCCGCGCGCCGCACAGCCGATGGACGTGTCTGGCCATCGCCCTGTGGTGTGTGGGCCTGGGCGGAGCGTGAGCCGCGAGATGAAGGGGGGTTGGAGGGACACGAGATGAAGAAATCGAAGCAGGGTGAAAATACAAAGCAGGGTGAATTGACATAGTATACTGGTCTCCATTCATGTTGGAGAGACAACCAGCACCCAACTTCTTACACGTCTCTTGAAGTGGTGGCTGGCATGGAAACGTTTTCAGGTCGCAGGTGGTGATGTGGCAGGTATCGGGTGGTAGATGTTCAGGACTCGACGATTGGACCACCGAAGTCCGAAGTCAAGAGTTTCCCTTTCGAAGTCCTGGACTTCCCTGGGTTGGATGGTTGGTGAGAGGTTTAAAGCTGCTGTAGATCTATGGTGATCTACTGTTGGGTGTGCATGCATTCGGCATATAGCCCCAAAGAAGAGCTTTATTAAAGAAGTTCCGACACTTTGGGACTTGCAGTCTCGGTGGTGCATCTAAGAGTTGCAGTCTCTAGTAATTCTGTCCTCTCCTCGCGCCTGTGTGAAGACAAATACACGTGACGCTCCTGCGGCACCTGCCTTGAACAAGCCACTCCATGTATGGCATATATACTTACATTGGGGTGGTTTCAGGGGTATGTAAGTATGCCATACATGGAGTGTCTGGTTATTATACACAAGCATGCATGTAAAAATATTTATGCGTCTCGTGATGTTTGATGTGTGGGCCAGCTTAGGGTACATTTGTTTACCTATAGCCTATAGAGTTGGAACTCTATATATAAATGTCCCTTCTCGCTACAATGTCATTGAAGCAATGCCCGCCCACCCTCCAAAGTCTAGATGTTTGACAAAATGTAGAGCGTCTATCGATGTATACTGGCATGACTCTCTCGCAACGTTCGGGTACCAAGGTGAACCGAACGTTCCACCTGCTCATGTTGAGTGGGGTATTGAGTAGGGTGTCACATGGTGTCGCCAATTGTCACCAAAAAAGGTTGGGTGATCCACTGTTCCGTACTTGTTCTGCACCCAGGTCCTCCACTCCACTCGCACGGCAACCATGTCTCTCCTCTCCGAAAAACGACCTGTTCCTCGCCTCTCCCAGGAGGCCACCGAGTCCTCGTGTAACTGCCACATGGCGTCATTCCGGGAGGGCTTACCGTCTTCCACCAGCCTCAGAGGACGAAGGCACCGGACCGTCCGTGAGGCTGGGAATTCATATAACAAAGCGGACTGGCGGACGCAGTCTTTGTCCAGCCACAGCCGTCTTGGCAAGCGGAATTCTAGACTTCATGTGTCGCATATGTTGTATCCCATACAGTTCTTCCAAGAAGTCCAATGACAAGGCAGCATTCTTTTGGACCTCTGACAAACCAGCACTGGAGTAAGAGACCCACATCAAACCTAAAAATGGACCTTTGGAAGAGTGGAACCCTTATTTTCCTCTACAATCCGACGTGGTTTTCAGGTTCCATGTGGACCTCTTCCACGCCGTATGTGGATGGGTAGGCTGAACAGGGTACCGAGAGGGTACCTCTTCCATGCCCTACCTGCACTTTCAACTCATATCCCCCCCCCTTCTCCCCTTCTCCGTCTAGCCGAACCTGCAGTAGAAGGCCACAGATGGATGTGCCTCGCTCGAGAGCTTCTCGGCCTTCAGGGCCGGTCGTGCTTGAGAGCAAGAAGGGGAACCTCTCCCCAAAGAGAAAGCAATCCCTAGGGATCCAGTCGTACCTTCTCAGGTTCTGTACGACTGGACCCTCCTGGCACCTACATAATGGTGTCTCCAATCACCATCTGAGAAGGTACTTGGATCCCATGGAATAAATATGTGGATGAAGATGAATGATGAAACATTGGCTCATAGGAGGCATAGCCGCAACCCAGAACGAATCAATGCATGTTTTAATGGTATGTTGAACCTAAGCCACTCATTGCACAAAGGATGTGGAAAGGACTGATAGTGACTACCATGACTACCAGCCCCATACCTTTCATTGGTTCATCGAGATCCCATGGTTTCGCCGGCTCCCTTGTTTCAAAAAGGCCGAGTGCCACCCATTCCCATCCCTCATCCCCCCTCCTCTCCCGCGGAGAGTAGCGGGCTTCGTTGGTTTCATTGACGCAGCCCAGCGACCCAGCTTTCCAGCCACTTCCGCTGGAGCTCCTGCCATGAACGGTTCTGGTAGGTGAGTGTGAGTGCAAGTAGGTAATTCAATTGATAGTATAGCCCATGACCACTGGTTTGGTACTCGAAAAAATGGGTCATCCTTTTAGGGACATGAACCCGGATGAGTCCAGGGAGTGGTAGACTCCCAAGAAAGCCAAAAAAACCTGAGAAGCTGCAAAACGAAAGCCAGCGCTTCCCTTTCTCGACAACTGCGCGTCCATGCAAAAGAAAAAATGCACTCTTGCATCACCACCCGCTCCAAAATCACTAAGACATCACCTCCAAGAATTTACGTATACCTTTCTCGGGCCACCCCCCCCGACCCCCGACCGACTTCACACATAGATAATTCCCATCCACATTCAGATGAAGCAAAAGCCAAACAATGCACCAAAATTCGAGGTGGCCTGGGACCAGAGGCTCGCTCCCCGAAACTATATGTTCAGGCCACCTCAGAAATGAAGATATGCGAAGCAAGGGTCCTGAGGTGTTTCTGTGACAAGGCTTTTGTTAGAATCTTCTGGATTTGAGCTGTTCGAGTCGAGTTCCTATTGAAGGGTATAGTTGGCGAGTGCGTCACCACCCGCTCCAAAAGCATCAAAGCATCACCCCCCAGAGTTTACGTATATCTTTCTCGAGCCACA